AGATAGATAGATAGATAGATAGATAGATAGATAGATAGATAGATAGTTAGTTAGATAGATAGATAGATAGATAGATAGATAGATAGATAGATAGATAGATAGATAGATAGATAGATAGATAGATAGATAGATAGATAGATAGATAGATAGATAGATAGATAACTTTCACTGATTGGCATTTTATAAAGCATGTGAATGTTTTAGTGCAGTGCCCTTTCTTGTAAATTGGCACTTTAAGAATAGTATAAAGTTTGCTATAAACACAGATCCTGACAAAACAATATTTATTGTAGATTTTGAAGTCGCCATTATGTCATTAATTAGAGTTTCAAATTCTTATTCATACTTGGAAGAAGTGGATAAAGATGATGGATGGATGTATACTTGAATTTGAGATGCAAAGTTGTCATCAAATTTGACAATTTTATTTAAAATTACTTTAAAAATCACAATTATGGCTTTAAAACCTATAAAATAAGACCATATATTCATTCAACCTTTATTTAGACAGGCATATATCTTAAAAACAATTAATAAATCAAAGCCACAGTTGTGACTTGAAACTCCAAACTATGACGCACTATGTTACACTTTTGTTTTAAAGTTAAACCTCCCCAGTCATGATTTATGATTATTTATTTCCCTTCACGTTTTTGTCAGAAACTCGCCGGGCGCTAGGACCCGGGGCTGTCCTCCTCCATGCAGCAGCAGCGGTCTGCGAGAGGACCAGAAATCTGCAGCTCTCCCAGAATGAAGAGATCAACATGATGCTGCCTCCAAACGGGGATTAAACAATCTGTCATCAGTTTGGGGTAAATCCTGCGCTCGTCTCTGTTCCGTTTTGTGTGCAAATGTAAACACATGGCTCGTGCAGACATCCAGGAAGGTTAAGGGCTGCATTTTCTGCAAATAGAGCCCCTGACAGATGCATCGTGCTCGCAGTGACTTTCTGTGAGAACTGCAGCGGATGCAGCGCAGGCCTTTGATGCGATCTGTTTTTGTTTCTCACCCTCTGCCGGTCTAGTCTGGTCTGGTTCCGTGCGCCTCCTCCTCCTCTTCCTCCGCTGCCTGTGTGGGGAGACATGCCGTCGCTGAGCATCTACTGACTGACCACCATGATGAAGACCGAATCCGCATCATCATCGTCAACATCCAAGAGCACCACGCTCCGGAGCCCGTCCCCGCACAGGAACGCCTACGAGGCGGGGATGCAGGCCCTGAAGCCCGTCAAAGACAGCGCGGCCAACGGGGACGTGCAGGAGGGTCCCCGGGGCCGCAGGTACGGCTCCAACGTGCACCGCATCAAAAACATGTTCCAGCAGATGCAGACCACCACGGCGGGCTGCACCGCCGCGGGCGACGCGGAGGGAGGGGAGGACGCCGTCGTGAAGAACGCCGACAAATCGGTGCGCCTGTCCCTCCCCAGAGCCGGCAGCCTGAATGAGAACGTGGACCACAGCGCGCTCCTGAAGCTCGGCTCCACCGTGTCGGAGCGCGTCGGCAAATTCGACCCCAAGTCTGAGAACGGGCACCAGCGGGCCTCCTCACCCAGCTACTCCAAGCTGCAGGAGACCCGCCGCATCTTCGAGCAGCAGCAGCAGGAGAGGCTGTCCACCACCAGAGTCCTCCTGAAGGCAGAGAAGGCCCCGGGCTTCCAGGATGGCAGGCTGGACATGGTGTCCCGCTTCAATGGCAGCACGGAGTCCCTGGACAGCCTGGACACCAGTGAAGCCGTGTCCCCCACGGTCAGCCAGCTCAGTGCTGTGTTTGAGAGGGCAGCTGAGCTCCGGAACAACCTCCACCGCCTCTCCTCCACACCTCCACTCCCCTCCAGGGGGGTCAGCACCAAGGTGGGGGTGTTGAACTCAAAGATAATCACCAAGAGGGTCAGTGCCTTTGCATCAGGCAACCAAGAGGAGGACATAAGCAATCAGAAGGGCCTGGAGACGCCTCCAAGAGGCCTTAGAGGACGGGTAACCCCCCCATCCGAGAGCATTAATGGTGGCCGGAGTGTTGACTCATCTGCTGAACTTTCAGGCCACGAAGAAAAGACGAACACCCAGAGAGGAAAAACGGTTGCAGATGCTGGCGTCGAGGCCAAAACTGGAGTGAAACCCAGGGAGCGATCCGGGGCCAAGGAGCCCAACAGCACAACGGAGAACCTGGAGGACAGAGAACCTGCTGAGGCACGAAGCTCTCCACAAACTGACGAGACACTCCGGCAGGAGGGGGACACGGATGCTGCTGAGGAGGAGGACAGGACTGTGATCACGTCTGTGGATATCAGTACCTACAGCGCTGCGGGGGACGACTACGAAGACGGCCAGAAGCACGAGGAGGAGGAGGAGGAGGAATACGAGGAGCACTATGAGCCTGAGTCCAGCTGTGTGGAGATTCCAGGGCTGGCCATGGAAGAGGACCCCCCTCCTGCGAGGAAGATCCGCTTCAGCATAGAGCCCATCAAGGTGAGGAGACAGGCACCACATCCAGGGGCGGTTGTAAGGGGTGGCACCGAGTGGCAGTTGCCAAATGAGAATTATTTGGATAATTAATGGGAATAAACCTGGAATTTAAAATGTTGACGGTTGACTCTAAACTGGGGTTTGTTAAAAATAGTTGGGGAAAATAAGTTTTAGCATAATGTGGGCTGAAACAGCCAGATTTCATTGACGTAACATGAAATGAAGGGTACCCTAAAACAATCAACTTTATTTCCTTGTGTTCTGTTAGTAGTGAAGACTGGTGAACTTCCTAACTACCTTTGTCAACGCTCTTCTGCAGACACCAAGGTGCTGACATTTGGATTTTCAACACTGAGACTTTCACACCACCAACACACACACACCTCCTCTCTCTTCGCTAGCTGCTAATGGGCGGTCTTGCATTCCCACAGTGCAGCCGATGCGAACCTTAAGAGTGCTGCAACGTGAATACTTAAATGAAATGCAACATTTCTTGAATGCATTTTGTGCCACATTGCATCCCCTGAAAATCACACTGTCATTGACGTCAGTACAACCAAACCAAAGTTTAGCACAATGTCTGCTAAATCGACTGTTTTTGTATTCACTAATGTCATCTTGAATCTTGTTGACTGCAAAGGCCGATCACTTAGATGTGCATCCGATATATATTTTCTATAGGTTTGAATGAAAGCTGTCCTGAGTCCTCTTATGACTTTCAGCGGTGAGAAACATTATCTGTGTGTTAGTGAGGTGGACACACTGCAGATAAAAGATGATTTTATGGGGATTTTGCGGAGGAATCAAGTGTTTTGGCTGTGTGAGAAAAGGCAGAGGAAGTGAGGAAAAAAAAAAAGGACTGATGTCTTTCTGGAGCAGCGAGATGAGAAAATTGGACAGACGAGGAGGAGGAAGAGTTGATTCAAAGCATCTCTCTGTGTTTGGTGGCTGTGTAATGATCTGGAGAGGAATCAGACTTAATGCTCCGCCTCGAGCTGTGAGACGGGCAGAGACTCTGCCAGCCGAAGTGGGTCCTGACACTGAACATCACACGCATTCCCTCTCGCAGAAGCAACATTTCATCTCAGTGAGCGGGCGCTCCTGCCCCTTATCAGGCCCACTCAAGTCAAGGGTTATTTTCTCATGGCTGCACATTGTCCTGCAGAGCCAAGTTACCCTGGCTTTCAGTATTAGCAACAAAAGGGATATAAATTAACATATTGAATCTTTTAAAGACATAAACTGCTATAAATGCTCATGTTGTTTAAATAGGAAGTCAAAACTGGCCTATTTTTCAGCACTTTAAGGCCTCTGCAACTAAAATACAAAAAAAGCTATTGTTTAATGATTGTTCTACTTCTAATATGTAACAACTTATTAAATATTTTACTATAATAGCCGAAAAGGTGTTAGCCGCTTCACACTACACAGCAGTGCAACCTAAAATCCCCCAAATTGGGATATTGTGTATAATGTGAATAAATACAGAATGCATTGTTTTGCACACTCAATTTACTTTTTTTTGAAAAACAAGGTCATTTTGATATTTTTATGGCAGCAACACATCTTAAAAAGGCTTTGATGGGGAAACACAAGGCTGTGAGGGACAAATAGCAAACAGGTAGACGAGTGTTTTGCAATTAATTAGAGTAATTGGGGACTGGGTGTAAAAAGATCATTTTAGGGAGGCTGAATCTCTCTGAAGTAAAGATGGACAGAGGTTCATCACTCTGTGTGTAATTAATCCAAAAAGAGTGGGCCTATTTTTGAATAATGTTCCACACAAGAAACTTGGAAAGACTTGGAATATAACATCCTCTACAGTTCATAATATTATAAAACTTAAATCTGTAAAAATCTCTGAGCTCAAAGGACGAGGCTGAAAGTCAACACTGGATGGTCGTAGTCTTCATGGTCTCGTGTCGCTGCATTAAAAACAGGTTCTGTTCTGGACATCACTGCATGGGCTCAGGAACACTTCCACAAATCAGTCTGTAAACATGGTTAATGGTTCCATCCACGGGTGCTGCTTAAAGCTCTATCATGCAAAGGAAAAGTTATATGTGAACGCCATCCAGAACCGCTACAGTCTTCTCTGTTCCAAAGCTCATTTAAAACAGACCGAGGTAACGTGAAAAACTGGTCAGAGGAATCAAAATGAAAATTTCCACATCCTCCACACTAAAGAGGAGACTGTTAGCGCAGAAAATCCTGCCTCTCTGATGGTATGGGTGTGCATTAATGCTTCTGACGTGAGCAGCTTGTACATCTGGAAAGATCAAGTCAAGTCAAATTCCTTTATAAAGCACTTTCAAAACAGCAGCTGTTACTAAAGTGGTTAAAAATAACATTAAGGCTGTAATTAAAGAAAAAAGTAATTAAAGCATCAAAATAAAAACAAAAACAATGAGAAACAATGAAATAGTAAATCAAGTCACACTGTTAAACATCAGTGAATACAGGTGTATTTTTAGGAGATTTAAACCTGATCTCCTCTGAGCTTCAGTCTGGTTTTTGGTACAACCAAAAGCAGCTGGTTCGATGATCTCAGCGCCCAAGAAGGAACATACAGTATGGATGAAGTAGATCTGAGAGGTATGAAGGTGCAAGGTCAGTTAATGCACTTAAAGGTCAACAGGATAATTTTAAATCAATTCTGATACATACAGGGAACCAGTGAAGGGAGGACTAAACTGGTGAAATGTGCCCAAATCTATGAGTTCCTGTTAAGAGCCAAGCTGCAGTATTTTGGACGAGCTGGTGACGTGAAAGAGACACCTGACTCACCCCAACATAAAGCACGTTACAGTAGTCCAGCCGGGTTTTAAACAAATGCATGAACTATTTTTTCAAGGTCAGATCTGGTCAACACAGACTTAAGCTCAGCTGTCTGCCTTAACTGGAAGAAACTTTCTTTGTAGAGCAGATCTGTTTATTAAACTTAAAGTCAGAGTCTAAAACTATCCCGAGATTCGTAACAGACTGCTTAAGACATGGCTGAAGAGACTCAAGATTTACAGGATCAGAGACAGTAGTAGAGCTAGGGCTAAACACAATGACTTCAGTTTTCTGATCATTAAAACTTAAAAAATTTTAAGCCATCCATGCCTTGATGTCATCAAGACATTTTAACAGAGGGCGAATGGAGCAAGAACTGTTAGATTTTTTAAGGGCATGTAAATCTGACAATCATCAGCATAGCATTGAAAAGAAAGGCCCATATTTCTTCAGGGTAGACCCCAAAGGTAGCAAATAGAGTGAAAACAAAAAGGTTCCGAGAATCGAGCCTTGTGGGACCCCACAGGAAAGAGGCATTGACGCAGGTACACTATTTTCAAACTTAACACAGAAACTCCTGTCACGGGTAAGAATGGAGGGATCCATAGCTGCATAAAAGCATGGCTTCATATTAGAAGAGTCTGAGTGCTGAACAGGACTGCCTGCAGTACAGAATCTCACCAAATGAAAACATTTGACGCATCAAGAAACATGAAATCCAGCAAAGGCCCAGAACTGTTGAGCAGCTTGAGTCCTCCATCAGATAAGAACTCGACAACATTTCCATCCAACAATGGGTCTCTTCAGTTCCTTGACATTAACAGACTGTTGGTGAAGGTCGGGGTGCTTCACAGTGAGAAACAGGACACTGTCCGAAGTTTTCAGAGAAGTGCTACTGCTCTAAAAATCAAATGTTATTATTTTTTATTGGGCTAATCTTTGCTTCAACACATGTTTATTGTGTTCTGTTGTTGGAAAAAAAAAATGGGTTCATGAAATTAGCGAATCACTGCATTCTGTTTTTCGCAGCTGGATTTGCACTGAACAGCTTCTATATACAGACTAAACAAACAAAAAAATAGGGATGCACAATATTATCGGCATGATATTAGCGTTAAAGTTAAATATCGGACATAGACCATTCCATCAAAATAACTCGCCGATATAAAACACGCTGTTTTTGTATGACAACCAAGAGACAAGGATGTCTGCAGCGGCAACGCAACGTGTTGACGTCAAACGCGCCTACCTGATCTGATCACGGCGGAGAGGAAGAAGTCAAAATGTCGGCGGTGTGGAAGTTAAATTTTTCCGTTGAAGATATCGGATTCTGAAAATTTTTGCACTACGTTAAGCCTCGCTACATCGTCCCCAGTCAGATATTTTTCCGGCATAGCCTTACCTGATTTACAAGCCGTCACTTCCGACATCATTGAGAAGCTAATAGCTGATAGCACTTGGGTGCGTTTTACCATGGACATTTGGACGTCAAGTGTTAGCCCCGTTAGCATGATTAGTTTCACGGCACAGTGGATAGAAAAAAACTTTTAAAAGGCTGTCCATGCACAAGAGTGCAGAGGATCCCACACTTCAGCTAGGAACCAGGAACAAGCCTCCACAAGTGAGACAGCATCGCAGGCGACTAATGCTAATAAATAACATTCAACACTTTTCATTTAATATAAGTTAAAGTGCTACGTATATCGTGCTATGTAAGAGGGTTATGTTCTGACAATGGAAAGTATATAAAAATATCGGTTATCGGACAAAAACGAATATCATACATCCCTAATATATATATATATATATTTAGACCTGTGCGTGTAGCAGTGTTTATGAACTTGAGCTTATTTGACTTAAAAAATCTGTGGTAGTAAAGTGAGGAAATGGTTAAAAAAAAAAAATAGTTGAAAATCCTACATAACTAATCATTAAATGTTTGCAAGATAGAAAATACAGAAAAGTCAAAGGGGGAAAGATTATTTATGTGGAATAAAAACAAACAAACAAAAAGTCACAGCTTTGGATTAGAAGCTGATTTTGTCTGTGACTGCGGCGCCGCCTCCCTCCGAGGCCTTTCATACCGTATCAGCGCAGCTTTTGTTATGGAGACTGATGCAAGGGTGGATGAGAGTAGAAAGGTGGGGTGGCATGGTGGTGGTGGGGGGCGTCAAACGGGAGGGGCGTGATTATGCAGCTCAATGTCATGCCGATGCTGCCACTTC